TCCAGCTTGAGATAGTCCTCGATGACGTAGTAGTGCGGGATATCGTCGCCCCAGCCCTCTGCACCGACTTCGTGGCTGGGGTGGAGACAGTATTTCGAGGACGAGGACGAGTAACGGGATGTATAGGTTGGTGTGTTGTTGAATTGCGCCGAAAGTGAGGTTGTGGCAAAGGGAAGGAATGGTGAGGGTGCTGGGGGGTAATTGAGGTGGATATTGAAGAGCAAGCCATGCTCGTTGTTGGGGTGGCGGCGCTTAAACTTGCGGGCAATGGTGCCATTGGAGGGGCAGATGTTGGTGTGCACGACTTCGCGAATGATGGCGTGAACGTCTGCTATCTCAGCCAGCTCCCATGTGCTCCAGTTGTGAAGCAGCGCGGCGCGTTGGAGAAGGACCAGGCGGGTGGCGCGGAGTTCGCGTGGGTGGTTGCTGTTATGGAAAGCGCGTGAGTAGAGCCAGTAGCGGTAGATTGCTCGACGAACATGATAGCGCTCATCGTTGGTCAACAGTCTGCGATCCTCGTAGTTGTGCTTCCATTTTTTAAACGGGTATATGTCGCACCATTTCTCTGCAACACGCCCGTGGTGTACAATCTGCTTGAGTAACGCGGCCGAAAAAGGGACCGAACGGAGGATGTGAGCGGGCTGACTGGCATTATGGGTAAGGAGTTGGGTAAGGTCTTGTAGAGGGCCGTATTGGGTTTCGGCGACTGTTTCGAGGAGCGGCATCTTTTGAGACGAAGAGTAGACGTTGCGGAAACGACGACAGGTGGATGACAGCGCCGTCAAATCTGTCAGAGAGTTGCAGCACAGATAAATCTGCAGAAGCAGCTCGGTTGCGAGGTCTTCGAATAGCATCTTGGATTTGCTCGCTGTAGTGGGATGATGTTATATCTGTGAGTTTGACAATTAGCATTATGCATACCTCATAGACAACATGCCAGTTGCTCACTTCAATTTCCTTTTCTGGTCGCGTAGATCAGGTCACCAGAATATGTGCTGTATCCTTTACACTCAGCCAGTGTATTCGATATACCGCTTCTTCAATCTCCTCTCTAAACCTGAAACTATCTCGTGCGAGATGATGTGATCTCACGATCGCCCGGCGTGTTAGCTGTGTGCTTCGACGCCGACAACGAACTCTGGATTCAGACAAATCGGACCCCTCCGTTGGGGCTATACGCATGAATTTTGACACTCTGGAAAGACTCATAACAATTGACTGCGCTGCCCAGTGGGCTGTCCATTGTAGTGAGCATCATGTTTTGGTGGTTGAAGAAAGGAAAGGAGACGCTGTCCTGACGTCTGGGGTCTTGTAAGGCGCCAAGAGGCGCTAACCCCAGATTACGGGAAGACAGCCAATCGGTCATCCGACAGGCGATTGTCGTAGAGACAGTCGTAGGAAAGAGATATGTCGACACTCACTCAGTATACGTTGGGTATGTTCAGCGAGTATCAATCGCAACAGCAGTGACACGAGATATAATGGAGCGATCCGGCAAAACACCCCATGACTGCCCTACCCTCCTCACCCTCCCCATCGAAATTCGCAGGCTAATCTATGCCCAACTCCTCCCTCACATGACCTCGATACCTGTGCGACAACAACGCTACCACGCCTCCACCACCACCGCCGCCCCACCCTCCTCCTACCACCTCACCTACGTACGCAGCATACCCGGCTCCTCCGAGGGCACCTGGCACATGGTGTCTGCACCGCCCAAGAGCGATCGCGAGACGGGCCACGACATTGTGTGGCGCCGCGGCTGCACCAGCCTGCTCGCCGTGAATCGGCAGGTGCATGAGGAGACGGCGTCGATGCTCTATGGTGACAACACGTTTGTGGTGGACATTGCCTTTGACAGCATCAATTTCCGGTATCGCTGGCGGACGAGCAATGGGTTGATGCCGAGTCGCACGTATGCCTTCTTGGAGCATTTTTCGCAGAGAAATCTGCTGCGGGTGAGGCGGTATGTGGTTAATGTTGAGCATGTGGATGATTATACGAGCATGATCAAGTACAACTGTGGCGGGAGGGGGTTGACTGCGGGGCTGAAGGGCAAGGTCGCAGAGTTGGTGAGGCTGCTGGGGGATGCCAAGGAGATTTACAAGTTGCAGATACATTTGATTGATGGAGCGATTAGTAGGCAGATGTTTCCAGGCGGGAGGGTACATCGTGTGCAGGACGAGAGCAATTATGAGCAGGCGCAGGCGGTGCTCGAACCGTTCAAGAGGCTGCGAGGTGTCAGGAGAGTCGATGTGAGCGGCGTGAATTCCCAGTATGCAAAGACGCTGGAGGAGACGATGAGTTCGCGGGTGGAGTAACGCGTGCCTGTTGATTATATGGGTATACCGATCTCTAGCTACACTACACTCTCGCTCGTGACGCGAGCCTACCTTGCGCCGAAACCTTGGGAGATGATGCAGTCCTATAACGCCTATGCTTGCAAACTTTTGATATGAATACATTATGCAAACAACACCTTGTCGCTGAGCGGATCCTTCTCCGGTTTGCGGCCTCCATGGGAGGTAAGACCGAGGTCGGCATGTTTGATCTTGCGATCCCGCTGTGCCTCTGTTCGCGTGTTGAATCTCCCAGCCTTGGATTTCCTGAGATCGGAACGGACCTGGTTGGGCGAGACGAACTCCTTGTTCTCATAAATGATGGGCCCACCAAAACTGGACTCTTGGATGACAATGGGGGTGAGAACGAAGCGAGGACCAATTTCGACCAGGCTGACATCCAACTCGGTCTTGCCGTTCTTCTTCTTGGGCGCTGGATCGATGTCCATGTCCTCTCCCTCTGCATTCTTCTTTTTGCCAGGCTCGCTTTCGTTGATTTGATAGACCCTCACCCAGATCTTACCAGCTGCGACTGTGAAACCCATGACGTGATCTACAAAAGGCTTGACCTTTCTGCTGGTCTTTGGTACGCCAAAAGTCTGGGTCAGTAGTTCCTTGATGACACGGAGATGTGCCTGCTTCTCGAAGGCGGCATCAAAGGAGAGAATAGGACGGGACCCTTTGAGGCAGTTGCCGATGAAGTTGAGCTCCTCCATGGTGTGCAAGTTTTGCAGGTGCATCTTGACAGTCGGGCCATTGGGGGGCTTGGACATCCAGCAGTAGAGATCCTGGCCTTTGCGGGCTTCGAAGAACATGATGTTGTTGCAATTGTAGAGTTCTAGATGGAGTCAATGGGATGTGGCTGGGGGGCTTCAGGCTTGGTTGTGCATGGCGCGCGTTGAGACGTTGGTTGGGCGACATTGCTTACCTGCGAGTTCGTTGAGCTCATACAGCTTTGTTTTGGTGTCAAACTTTGCTTCTTTCCGGCTGTGGGGCCTTTGATTGCTAGATTAGTGGATGCGCTTGGATTATGAATTAGATGTACTGACATGAGGGAGTACAAGTCTTGTAGCAGATGTCTGTGGCGGAATGTGACACCTCGTGAGCTCTATGTTGTGTTAGCATGGGGCAATTTTTTTTTGTGTTTTGCCAGACAGGGAAGAAGAAGGACAAGGAGAAGAAAGACCAACCAGAATGAGGACACGCTGCTTGTTCCTCTTCTCTCCCGTCTCCTTGTCATGGTTGTCTGTGGCGGACAGGGTCTTGTATACAGAAGCCATGGCGTGGATATGTGTCTTGTTGCTGTTGCGACGGGACAGCCATTGCAGCAGATGGCCTCGGTGAAAAAGTTGGAGAATTGATGCCAAGAGGTTTAGCGTGGATCGATGGTGCAGGATCCACCGGACATGGGGTCCGCCTGCCGGCCACCGTCACCGTGTCACGTGAGTGCTCTGCAGCCCAGGCCTTGGTCCCGTGGCAGTGACATGGTAGGTTCGAGTCGCCTGCTTGTACTGCATCTATCTGTGGACAGTCATGGGAAGGTCCTTGGAGGGTCAGTATGAGTACATTCACTGGTCCTACATGCCATGTTCCTGGCCGGAGTTGGTCAGCGATGGTAGTACAAAGGCTCATAAGTAAGGGTGCTAGGTGCTACTAATAGGCGGCACACACTAGGCTTGTACGATTGTAGACTGCTAAGACGCATGTGGTTTAGCTTAGCCGAAGATTGCCAACGCCTCAACCCGGCAGGCGGCGCGAGTCCAGAGTTCCAACTTCCAAAGATGGCTGCAAACCGTGAGAGGGAAACGAGAATGGAAAATCTGGCAAAAGTGGCCGGCCATCTGTAGGATCAAGCCATGGGAGAGCAAGCCTTGGGATGCATGTAGCTACTCATTCGTAGCAAGCAAAGTGCTTGTTGTTATTGTTATTGTTGTTGTTGTTGTTGTTGTTGTTGTTGTTGTTGTTGTTGTTGTACACTGTGTAGGCACTGTAGACTGTATAGTAGTTGTAGTAAGTAGGTAGTCGCTGGTAGTACGTAGATGGAAGCAAATCAATCAACATGGGGGAGGGCTGGCAGGCTGCACAGCACATCCCCGGGTGGGTAAGCGGGCTGATTGGCTGCTGCACCGCCATCCTGGGCGCGCGGGTCTGTGTTGATGGCATAGGCTTCGACGAGAGAAGAGGATGGATGGGGTTTGCAGGTGAGGAGGTGCTTTGTTACCAGAGGGCCAGGCTGGAGTGGCCGGCATATCATCGCAATGGCAAAGGGCCCAACAAAGTCAAGTCTGCTTCTTCGCGCCTGATCCATCGGCCCCCTCCCTCCTCCCCCCTCATGGCCAGCATGATCACCTAGCCATCCTGCCATACCTATAGAAATAGAATCGCAATTGCCGTGGACAGACTCTGTGCACACATCGTCGCCAATCCGCGCCTGCGTCCTCCCAACCTCATCGCGGCTGCTCTAGGAAGCCTACCCACCACGGCCGCACTAAGCTGGAGCTGACGGGCCAACCTGGGGACTTTCGTGTGTGTATGGTGTGCGTGTGTGCGTGTGCGTGTGTGTGTGTAAAGAACCTTGGGGGTGTGCGATCCAGACAAGAGTTGCGTCTCCACATCAGCCCTTCATCCCCGCGCTCCTCGTGCTGCTGCTGCTGTTGTTGTTGTTGTTGTTGTCGTAGTGGTCGTGGTGGTCGTCGTCGTCCCATCTCCCGCTGCGCAGTCCCCAGTCGCAAAGGAACGACCCCATCGCGCAACGGCGCAACCACGTCGACCGCCCGCCTCGACACGTCCAGCCCTCTCTGCCACGAATCACTACTTGATTGTCTCTCCGCTCGCCTCATGGCCTAGCTATCTGCGCTCAATTTCACTTCTGGTACGCGCAGCCGTAGCAGCAGCAGCAGCAGCAGCAGCAGCAGCAGCAGCAGCAGCAGCAGCAGCAGCAGCAGCCAACGTCATGTTCCGCGATGCTGTCCTGCCGCGCTCGGTCGACGACGGGGAGGACCATTCGCGAGGAGAAGGTGGAATGCCGCCAGGGCACCAAGGGGAACCTCCGCCAGCAGCTTACCACAGATCGCCAACACAGGCAGGCCAACCCTATCAGCACCACTCGCCCACCACGCCCGCGCCCTTGCCGCTCCACCACCCCAACCTGCACGCCCACCACCACCACCATCAGCAACCACAGCAGCACCATCACCACCCTCACCAACACCAACACCCACACCCACACCCACACCCACACCACCATCCACACCACCGCCGCGCTCCCTCCTCGCCGCGCACCACAGCCCTGCCGCCCATCCACTCGGCTCTGTATTCGCGCGACACGTCCCGATACTACGACCCGACTTCTGACAATGGCGACCGTAGCATAGCACGGGACCCGGCGCGTTACGACACCCACTATCCGACCCAGGTGCGCACATTGTTCTTTTTTCTTTTCCACCTTCTCATCCTCCACCTCCAACTCCCCTTTTCCATCCACCCCCCCCCCCCACCCCCCTTTATCCTCGCATTTCCATGACGCCCATACAACCGAACCCTTGACTTGCACGCACCCAACCCTGACCTG